CCAAATATAAGCATCTGTACAAGTTTGGATCGTCTATGAATATAAAACTAAATATGAAACTTCTTTCTTTTGTGTCAGTTTTCTTTAATATTTTAACATGGTTGCACATCTGGACAGCAGCGATTTCTTCTTTAAATGTGTAAATGTGTTGCATTTTTATAGACCATATTTGAGTAAAGCAATTTGAGTTGTGCAACTATTCATTTTGAACATAGTAAAACATCCATTTAATTCCAAGGAAAAGAAGCAAACACACAAAAGAAACTGGTTTGTATTAGCACTGGCTTTTGAAAGGTTTGGTTGCAGAGTACTCAGTCCTTCCAAGGTTAACATAACCAAGATTTTTTTGGTTCCTTTTTGTTCGAAGGGATTTAAATAAGTGGAATAATTTACTCATGGAAAAATTATAATATGAAGTGTTTAAAAAATAATTCATGGGCCTTTTAACCCCCTCTTGTCATATTAGTTTTAAACATTCACCTTAAATTGGTGTTAAAAAGCAATAATTAGTAGTCACTGTCCCATAATGATTTTAATAATGAAGTTTACCTGAACCCACTTTCCCTCATCCTTTCCTCATTGGTCTTTTTGTTACTGCATCCTTCTGGTCACCTCCCTTATACATTTTTGTTCTAGTACAATAATACCAAACATGTCACGTTTTTATTCAGATTATCAACATCACTATTATATATATATAACATTTCCAGTCAAATAATATTTTCCTTGCAAATCATGAAGTGTTTTGTTGTGTTGGATTACAATTAAAAGTCTTGTAATAGTACAAGAGCTCCTCTAAAACCACAAAATATATGGTCTATAGATACCATTTTGTTTAACTTTGGAAATGTATTTTTTAAATGTATAGCCACATATTATATTTTACGTTAACGACAAATGTTCAGCAAATATTGAATATGAAGAAAGAAATATGCTTTTAAAATAATGTTATCTATTTATTCTCTGGCTGCAATGTATCTGGCATGCTGCATTTGGGGATGTCTGTGTGTTTTTTTAAATGTCATCTTTATTAGTATTACATTCAAGGAATAGTACCAAGAATCAGTTTCTTTCAAGACCTTCCTCGAGTGTGTGGCATATAAGTCTGTGACGAGCGACATTACAGAAGGTCATGTCACTTTTAACTGCTTGCATTACATCTTTCTGATTTCCCTAGTGCCCTTCCTTTGTTTGATTAATACTACTTGCTTTCAAGCAAGGTATCAGAAAGCATAATTTGGAAAGAGAATTCTAGAGTCGATCTGAGATTCCCCTTAAGAAAAAAGAGAAAAAACTGAACTTTGTAAATGTATCTTTTCTACTACATGATTTTTCGTCACTCTTCATTTTTTCCCCTTCAAGGAAATCCTGCGTATAGTATATGTTGTTAGTTAAATTATTGCTGACAAGTGTTTGGGCAACTGGACTTTGTATACTTGAAAACAAAATGATGTAGTGCTTATTTGGTTTTATTTGAAGAGGAAAGAGCTAGAATTTGATACCAGGACTCCTTTCTTTTGTTTTCCTTAGTTAAGTGTTAAACTCCAGCACTCTCATCCTAAATAGCAGGTGTTATTTGATTTCTCTGGGAAGGGTTGCAATTTTGTGCAGTCATTAAATGCACTTCAGTGATATATACAGTTTGTTTTTAAAAGCTCAGTTTGCAGTTTCGATGTTCATTGCATTTGGCTAGAGCTCTTGTCTTAAAGCACAGCTCAGCTTCTGAGACACTCTTGTCCTCACAGTCATCCGTTTCACTGGACCATTAAAGCCTGAAAATTAGTTGTGAAAGCATCATCATTTTAATTTGGAATCTTTATCCACACTTCTACCTGTACCCCTCTATGTGTTTCTTACAGTCAGTGAAAACATGAATCAGAATTTTGTGTGTCATTAAGAGCACAGAATATTTTGTCCAGGAAAAAATATTTAATTTCCGAAAATTAATGTTTAAAATATTAACTTGATGCTATTTTATTTTTATTAATAGCTAACATTTTTGAGTACTTCCTTTGATACAGGAACTGTATTAAGCACTTTTATGCATTATCTCATTGGATCCTTAACACTGTGAGATAGGTGCTATTATCATCTCCATTTTCTAAGGCACCTTCAGCTTCACCTGAGCAAAATGTAATGATGGGATATGTTCTGAAGCAGCTTAAAGGCATCAATAGGAAATCATCTGTATTATAAATCCTCACTTGTAGATGTTTATGATGTAACTTTAAAAACGCACTGGAGGAGGGGAAGGGCCCTCACTAGAGCGCTAAAACACAGCAAAAAGGCCTCTCACTAACACAACACTTCTCTGCCAAATGTAAAAGCAAATGGTTGTATTGGGTGGTTCTGGCTGCACATTTGTGGAGCAATTGTGCGTAGCCAATTACCCACTTGTGCAGGGTAAGAACAGTTTGGGTTTTGCAAATGAAGAGCCTGAGTCTGTAGACCTCTTTGAGTCATACTTGAACAGAAGATCCACAGCTGATTTGTAAAATGTGTAAATTAAGCTACTGGCTTGTTTATGGCTTAATCTTATCTTGAATTTTTGAAAATTAATTTGAAGATAGTGGAGATTCTCCAGCCTTAATGGTTAAATATTCATGGGTTCTATTCTCAGGCAAATGTTTGAGAGCATTTTGAACATTTGCTTTTATAAATCTGCATCATTGATTAGGTATAAGTCCTTCCAGGTGAACTAAGTCAGTTCTGTGAGATACATGATAGGCACTTTACCCAAAATGTGTTAAATGATATGAAGAATAGATGATACATTCACTATTCACTCAATCAACAAATATTTTGTGAACACCTATTATGTACCTGACAATCTGCTAGGCACAGCCCACCACCATTCTGCCTTCATAGCACCTGAAATGTGATAGTAAGTACTGCAGAGAAGAGGCATATTATACATTCTTAATTATAAGTAGCTATAATAATGAGTTTATTCACAGCAGCAGTAAAAGTATAGTGTTCATCTCATTTTCCTTGATGTATTTGATATGAATCTGCATGGGTAATTTCAGCAAAAAAAAAAAATTGCTTCATTTAAATCTAAAAGATAATTTTATCAGAGGTACGAAATAATCATCATTTCAGAAAATCTTACAAGGGTTAGGTGAATTCTTCTGAAGCAACACAATGTACCAATGTAGCTTCTTTTCCATCTTAAACCCCTCACAAATAGCCCAATTTGAATAGCCTGGCATATATCACTTCAACTATATACTGTCACTATTGTGTGTGTATTTGTGATGCAAATACTTTAAATGTAAGGAAATGAAAGGTTAACATGAAAGCTTATCTGATCAACCCTGTTTAAGTTTTACTGGATTATAAGCCATTTGAGGGCTGGTAGGAGTAAAGAGGAAGTTTTGTGGGTTATCTGTGTATTCCCACATTACCTAGCACTATGTGCCTTGGACAAAGGGGTTTATGATGAATGCTATGGAGTAGCTGGATATAGTTAGAGAGACTGTCAAGAGTCCATCTTTCTTGTTGATGCTTCATTGCTTTATATGTCTCCGAAGTAAGTGTAAGCTCTCATCAGATATGCAAAACTGCATATTGCACTACTGTGATTCTTTTGAAATGCTGAATGTCCAAATGAAAGACCTCAAAATTCTACCAATTAACAGAAGATTGAAAGCATGACATTAAATTAGGAACAGTCTCACAGGTTGTCAGATGCTTTCATTATATATTTGTTCATGAGACCTGGAGGTTTGTGTTTGTGTTATGCTTTTAAATCAGTTAATGCTTTTAGAATATTTGAGAAAAATTATTAGGAATAAGAGTTCTGATATGTTATCTCAGTTTGTGGAACTCTTTTCATAATACAGTCTTGGTTATTAAAGTGTTCACCCATAGAATATTCCTGTTGGTATTAAAACACACACACACACACACACACAGGAAAGGAGGGCTAGGTGTCTCTGTCCTCTAAAGTTATGAGCTTTGGGAGAAAAGTTTTAAAGTATTTGTTAACCATGCTTCTGTTGAGTCTATTCAGAGATACAGGATCAGGAAAAAAAAAGGAATTTAAAAACCATATCAAATATCATAAACACAATAAGTTGGGTCTTACTTGAATAACGACACTTCTCCCAAGGTTTTCTAAACTGTAGGTTTCTGTGGCATGCATATGTGTATGTTTGTGAAGTGCGGAAAACCATTTTAAAAAGCCTGAAATGGAGTGAAGTCTCATTCTGAATGGTTATATGTTGATCAAGGCAAAGGGAAGTTATTTGGGAAATCCAAAATGACTATTCCGTTCTGCTGAGGTAGGCTAAATAGCTATTTAAAAATACATATATGCATATCCAACTACGTGGGTTATACACACACTATACACATGTAATTATATATTTTAATTTTCATTTTATAATATGCATTCTCATAATCTTGTGTAAAATCACAGAGAATTAAAATGAGAGTTTTGGGTAATCCACAAAATCAAAAAGTAAGAGAGGCAAGACTTGACATTTATACATAAGAATTAAAATTTGAGCCATAAAAATATATTGTTAGTTTTATGCCATAGACCACCAGCATGAATCAATTAACAGACATGGTTTTTTAATCGTAGAATTTGGTGAAAAGTAAATTAGAAATAGCAGAGCTGTTTCATGCCTAGTTATCTAGTTCTAAATTTCAAGTACCTGATTAATACAGACAGCAGAATCGGTAGAAGGGAAATTTCCTGATTTAAAGCATCCTCCAAATTAATGTTGGTTTACCTTATGCATATTTCAAATTCTTGAGGTTGTCACAAAACATTTCACATGAATCCAGTTCCCCTAACTGGGATTCAGTTCCCTGGTTTTAATCAATGAAAGGCAGAGCGTTTTCCTAATCACTATCTCTAGGTTGAATATCCCTTCTCAGTGTGCCCGTTTCAAATGTTAATAAAGTTTTCATTTCCAAAAGGTTCAAAATGACAGAACAAAATTCTCTCCTTTAAGAGCACAGAAAATGACTTCTGTTTCTGTCTGCAGGTAGTGGAGGACATGCTAGAGGACGAGGAAGAAGAAGATGACAAAGATGACAAGGTAATTATCTTTCCCAGCACTTGGGTACCTGGGGATGGGGAAATGTAGACATGACACTGTTTTCACAGACAGTTAAAAAAGGAGTTGAAGTGTTTGAGTCCAGAAAATTGGACAGTGCTGTTTATCATCCTAACAATGCCACTGCATGTTGCAAAGAGGGAGAGAAGGCTATAAATCCTCTTCGCTTTTGTCCAGAGCTGGGTCAAATATTTTTCTGCCAGGAACAAAAAAAAATAATTCAGCTTGTCTGGAACTTGATAGCTCTCATGAAGATAACAGCAGTGACGACTGTTGTTGAAGGGCAAAAATTTGTCCTATCTTGAGTATTACAAATCGAGCCATGCTTTGGGGGAACAGGGGAGTGAAAACATAGCCTGCATGAGTTGAACATGGATATTGTCATCTGTAATTTTTGAACAAAAAGCAAAAGGACATGAATGTGCAGAGTGCTCCAGAGGACATTTAAATAACCCCAGTGCTCATTGCCCTTGCTGAGGTTTGGAATGGCCACGTGGTTTCTCCATCAGGAAAGCCCATTCAGAGAGGCTTATATTCAATCGCTGGTTGATTTGGGGATGGTGACCACAGTAAATAACAGCCAGTTTCTGGGACTGCTTGGATTGGTTGTCCCCTAGGGAGAGGGGACAACAAGAGGTAGGAATTAGAATGATCTTGCACCACTGCAGCAGTGGCTGGGGTTGGAACTACCGTTTTCTATGGCAAGGAGGATAGTGATGCTGTTACATCATCATCTCTGGGCATTTCCAGACCTAAAATCTAAAAAGTCCTAGGTTGAGATCGAGAGGCAGAGGACAAAAAATCGTTCGTGATTTCCACATTGGTATGTAAAACCAGATTTTTGACCATCAGCAGAATCTGATTTATGTTGTGGTAAAGCAGTGAATTTTTTTTTTTTAAGAAAGGAGGAAAACAGTATATTTTAATTTATGCCCTTGACCTTTGATTCCAGTAAAGATGTACAGTTATATCCCAATGTAAGAATTTGTGTGCCACTGAAGGCCGTGTCTCCAAAAATAAAATAATTTGTGTGTTGGAAGCATGCATGAGAAATGTCAAAAAATTCAGTGATTCGTTAACTCTCCACATGATTTTTTTCCTAATATTCAATGCTTGAAGGAAAACAGACACACACACACACACACACACACACACACACACACACTCTCTCTTTCTCCCTTCTAACACTATTTCAAACATTTTTAAATCGACAGAGTTTTTATGTGAAATTTTTCTTCTGTACATCATTTAGTCATTAGCAACATCATCAAACATAAACTAACAAAATCTCCTTCCTGCAAAAACACATATGTGCTTGTTTTTAATGTTAAATAACATGAGCATACACTTCTGGCAGTAAATGATATGATTTATTGCTAAGGTCAGTTGTAGAGCTGTAGAGTGCTTGTATTTTAACTCAATATGCCAGCTCTGAATCATCATTTCTCTGCTGATAAACACTGAGCTGCCATCCATTTATGACCATTTTCTCTTGCTTGTTGCTGCTTTATTATTAAAGCCACCATAAAGATCCATCCCAGCAGCAGGCGTTTCCCCAGAAATGTTAATAAATGGAAACCCTTAGTGAAGTCTAGTACTTAATGTCCCTGCTTGAAGTCAACCTATGTTTTTAGTCAGTTTGTTGATGTTCTGTACTTCTAATCTCTCCCCTTTTTATGGGCATTTTTAATGGAGAAAATGTTAAGTATGGGAAGTAGACACACCTGGTTAACCAGCTCACCAAAACATAGATGTCAAGTGGAACATGCCCGGGGGAAACAACACCAAATCTCTGGAGTAACATCTATTGTAATCTAGTGTTTGGTAGTCTGAAATTGACACCCTGCTTCTAACACATTTTCAGATCTAGTTACCAAAGTTGATTGAAAGTGAGTGCTTAAATTACAGTGTGAATTCAACTGTATTCTTCTGTACAGGATGCCGACAAGCAGTGTGTTTTCCATGTGAAAGGATTGTGAGCTGATTTTCATAAATCTAACCCTTTTATCCGAGATAAAGGAGGTTTTTCTTTTTTACTCATAATGCAATTGATAGCATAAAAATCATATCTGAATAAAATCTCAAATGTAATAATTTACAATAGACTTTTAAGTGCTTGAATAATAGAGGGAAGAATCTTGTGGACGTCTTGAAATATAGTTTTTCCTATAAGAAATGGAAATATGAAAGGATCCTGCAAGGTTCCATCTTCCATCTCGACTGGCTGTCACAGCGGTAAATGTTAAGTCTTGGCTATCAGTGCGTCTGAGTGGAAGAAGGGTAATTTCCTACTTTGAAAAATTCGTTGGTTCCTTTATTTAAAGTTTGTGTATAGAGTCATGGGTAATGGAATTTCATGAGAAAACAAATGTGTTCTTTGCCATACGAGCAGGTACTGACCTCTAGCTCTCATTATTTCTGTTTTCTCATATGGTATAATAGTAGGGTCAGGTCAGTGGGTCCTCTTATAGGATAAAAGTAAAAAAGATTAATAAATGTGCCAAAGCCTCACTTTAATTGAACCTGAAGCATATGTTGGAAGTATGTAAAATATGTCCCAGATGTTTCACCAGGGCCAGTGTCTTGGCTTTCCCTGATTACCACAAGGCAGCTATTAGTCCTATAACCTTTGGACTTGGGGGTAAATGGGGTATTACATGGCACAGAATGAGAGCACCTGTTTTCCATTCCGCCAAGACCCCTGGCAGGCTTTTCCTAAGCCTATCCACATGTTTTCACTTAGCAGATTGTTGGGCGATTATGAAAAGTGTCTTTCTTTAGAGCCAGCATTGATATTAGTCACTCACAATGAAAGGGCAAGTCATTGGCTACTTGACAAGGTCCGTGTGGGCATACACTGAAATCTTTTATTTCATTTGAGCTGAGGGTGTTTTCCCTTTGCATAATTATATACATGACAAAGACACAGGTATATGAAGCTGAAGCAGACAAAATTGTAATTAACATAATAGCTTTGTAATAGCTTTTCTTTCGTACTGACTGTAGCACCAGGGAAGACTTTGGTTAAAGTTGGTAAAAGCTAAATCATGATTTACCTGGATTCCCAGATTTTGAAGTTCTTCCAGATTATAGCTTTAAAAAAATATATATATAATGTTGTTTCTTATTAAAAGAGCTAATCATTATTCAGGTGAGGGTTTGTGATCCACAGACTTACCCTTCATTCTCAAACCCATTGCTCACATTTGCTTAAATCTAAAATTAGGTGGCTTCTCTTTTAATCCAATTCCATGGTTTTCACAAAGGCAGAGAATACGGGTTTTACATGGTGAGTCTTAGTAATGAATCATTGACTTGTTAATATTTTCACTTATCTGCATTATGTAGTAGCACTCTGTTAAGCCGTGCTGGAGATGACATTTTTCCTGAATTAAATGTTAGACATCATACTGCGTTCTCAATTCCCTTTGTTGTACAGCATTCTCTGAACCATCAACCACAAAGTCACAGTTTGATCTGATTTTTTGACCTGACACCAAATCCTGCCTTTGTGGTTAATAGAATATCTTAGCAAATAAGGCTTAGCTAAATTACCTAGGTGGAGCTATCAACAAGCCATATAATAGTGTTTTTCACCATGTTATAGATAATAATACAGTGGTCAGTCTGTATAATCTAGACATCTAATTAATGAAGATCAGCTTTCCTTTTGTAGTTTAAAAAGTTTAGGCATGCTTCCCATGGTGCATCCTACCCTTGTAATAAGATCCAGCTGCGATATCAGGAAGCAGAAGATAAAATGCAGGTTTTCCTCAGAAAAAGCATGGATTCAAATGCATGGCATTCTAGTAATGTTTATTGATAAAAGATATTAAAATATTCAGCCATTTATGCTCACATTGCTTCTTTTTCTTCAGCCATTATGTCAAGGTTACTGTGTTTCAAGAGAACTAAATGTAACAAATAAAACATACCTGAGTTAGTTCAAAATAAACAGATTCTTTGCTTTAATTCTTGAACTCTGTGTTTTCTGGTTCGATTCTCCAGCCCTAAAACATGTATATAACATACCCAAGATTTGGGCATCTCTGGCATCTCAAATGAACTATGAGGGGTTAGGGGAATGATATGTGATGTGATATGAGAGAAGATTTTAATCCAACAAAATGGCATTTTCTAGTTGTATTCAATGAAATAACGGCACAGTGGGGAAAAAGATTAAGGCTTTGGAGAAAGGCAAGAAGAAAGGAGGCACAAGGAAAACACTTCCTTTTAAAATTTTCAAGCCACATTTAACTGGAATAGCATTGTTTTCATTTATTTGTTTGCTATTGCTGCATAACAAATTGCCACCCATGTAGAGGCTCAAAACAACACTCACTTTTTAGCTCTCGGTTCAGTAGATCAGAAGTCCAGCACAGCTCAGTTGGGTTCTCTGCTCAGGGTGTCATGTTCAAGGTATCAGTCAGACTGAGTTCTCACCTGAAGGCTTTGGAGAAGAATTCATGTCCAAACTCATTCAGGGTATTGATAGAATTCAGTTTTTTATAATTGGAGGACTGAGGTCCTTGTTTTCTTGGTGGCTATCTGATACTAGTTGCCATTTTCCATGGCTTCCTCCATCTTTAAATCTATCAATGGAGAATCTGTTGGGTTGAGTCTCTCCATACTTCAAATCTCTTCAGGAAGAGACAAGTTCCTTTTAAGGCCTCACCTGATTAGGCCAGGTCCATCAAAGATAATCTGTTTTTCTTAAAGGCAATTGTGCCATAGAACGTAACCTAGTCACGGGACCACATATTTCATCTGATATGATTTGGCTGTGTCCCTACACAAATAATGTCTTGAATTGTAGCTCCCATATTTCTCATGTGTCATGGGAGGGACCTGGTGGAAGGTAATTGAGTCATGGGGTGGATCTTTCCTGTGCTGTTCTCATGATAGTGAATAAGTCTCATGAGATCTGATAGTTTATAAGGGGGTGTTCCCCTGCACACACTTGCTCTTGCCTGCCACCATGT